ACCTTTGAATGGATATATTCCACTTCTTTGACTTCTAACCATATCGTGGAATCCTCTTCTAAGCAGAGGCCCAGCAATGTGGCGTGGGTATCAATCCAGAACGAACCCAAGTCACAACCTTTTCGGTCACAGCTGAAAAATATGACCTAAGATTATCAACTGCTGTTTACCTAAATGTACTGCTCGCTCAGTGAGGCTCCTTTTTGAAATTTACTGCAAATCTGCAAATTGTAATGGTCCTTTACTGATTGGATGTTGCTTTCAGCACTCTTCTGAACCAAACGGAAAGGAACCTCCCGTTGTTCGAACTGACTCGCTTCGTCATGCAACAACCATTGTAAGTTGACTATCATTTTATCTTTTACTTTTTATTTTAAGATTTTTTCGATTTCGCAGCACTGTTTGTGGCAGCTGTTCTACCGGAAGATCCAAACAAGAGTAGCAGTTATCGAAAGATTTCCTAAACTGTTCAGCGCTCTTATCAGATCACCTTCTCAGTATTTAATGAAACGGTGTCGTCACGGCTGTACTGCACTGTCTGCTCCCCACTTATTATGATTGTTCTTCAAGCCGTATCCTCTTGACTCTTCTGAAACGTTTCCTTGTCATGGGAGCACCTATTTTGGTCGATGAGGGTAGGACATTCAACTGAGTAAGCCACTCGCAGTACTTGGAACTGAGCTTTAGGGAAGAGAAGGGATTCTGAGAGAGGATGAATTTATTTTTGCCACTCACTGACCTTCCTCTCTTCTTCTGTGCTTAGTCCTAGTGTCATTTACAAGCGGTTTCAAATGCCCTTTTCTGAAATGCCCCCCCCCGCTTCTCCCAAGGACATGGGCGCCCTCGTGGACCAATTGGGAGCCTGCATGCACGTGAATGTGATGGCTCTAAAGTGAGCTTATTACGTAGAAGTGAAATATTGAAAATGTGTTACCGCTTTTGTGTTACTGTGCAAACGCCAACGCTTTCAGTGATTTTCTGCGGATTTTTGTTGGCGACGGCTCCTTAATTATGACGGAACGACAGCTGGAGTGCGCAGGGTATACTGTGTCAGAAGGTGAGAATTTACCGTTCGGAGACTGCCTCTCTGACACCGAGTGGCTTACAATGCCAACCACCGATATTGACGATTTGTCGAAAAATCTTATTTCAGGCTGGGCAGTTCCGCTCGCATTGCAGATGTATTGGAAACCAGTGATTATTATGATCTACGAAGCGAAGGTTGTCAGTGAACTGATTATCTGTGTGAGTCACGAATTTCTTGGAGGTATTTTATTTCATTTATTGACGTAGGCGTAAGCCCAGGTGAACTGACGGCGGATAACAAATGAGTCTGCTGTGGGCATGAATCCCGATTGATCCCGTGAGATAAACAGTCTTGTTGAAGTACCCCAGGAAACAACTGTAGCCAAATCCTTAGTCATGGACAAATTTTGATTAAAATCCGGCTCGATTTTCGAGGTGTGGGGGAGTAAGGGCGAATAGTGCCAAAGCATACCAAAACTACGGTAATACGAGCAATCATTTTGTGGGTGTGCGAGAATGCTCTAGCAGTTTTTGGCCATGTTTCGGAATATGCTCAGAGAAGAGTGAGAGTTACCGCCGCTTGTTGAGCAGGAAATATAATCTGACAGGGGATAAAATCGAGCGATCTAACCAGGAAGGTCTTTCAGGGCGTGACGAGCTTTTTGAAAACGGTCTTTTGCATGATATAGGGGCAGATGCGGGGACCACAGAACCATGTTTAATTTTTCCTGAACGGCCCTCTGAATACCAGAAAAGGGGGTCCCTAGTTCGATTCCTCTTGGTGACAAATTTTTGCATTTCGAGTTGACGTTCCAAAATTCGCGCAAAATGGAGTTCTGATTGTTCTGGTTGGTTCTAACTCCATTTTGCGCGAATTTTGGCACGTCAACTCGAAATGCAAAAATTTGTTACCACGAGGAATCGAACTAGGGACCTCCTTTTCTGGTATTCAGAGGGCCGTTCAGGAAAAATTGAACATGGTTCTGTGGTTCCCGCATCTGCCCCTATATCATGCAAAAGACCGTTTTCAAAAAGCTTGTCACGCCCTGAAAGACCTTCCTGGTAAGTTCTGATCACGATGATATTGATTTTGAAGGCACTCCCTTCAGTTCTTTGAAAAACAGACATCTCAAATATTGCAATTTGCTTCTTCCACAATGATCCAGCAATGACTGGAGAGGTCCCAGCATCTACGCCAGCCTTGGTGCCGTCTGAGGCTGGAATACAAGCTGAGAATTGCTCAAACATCACTGGTTGATCTCTTTCATTGTATGGGGTTTTTTTGTAGATTCACTTCTCACCTTTCATTTGCCCTGCGATAGGTCTCTTCCTCGTGCTGCCAGGCAAAACCAGCAAAACTACCATTACTTCATTGGACGCATCCTTCCATAACCTCCCCCCCCGCGCTCTCTATAGAATCATTGGGTCCGCACTTGCAGGGAGATCGGCGATTTCACAACCCACAACGTGCGGTAAGGACGCTATGGGTGTCTACTGGTGTCTTCCCTCGCTCATTCTCACTCGCCTCCTAGTCTGTCTTCTAGCCTCAACGCCCAGTGTCTCTTTATTTCTCAGTCTCTGCCTGTCTCGTAGTCTCGAAAGCACCTCGAAAAGGGGTCAATTTCAGTGTTTCCAGAGATTTATTCTCCTTTTGTGTTCACTTACGGACCCCTTAGCAGCTCTGGCATTCCCTTTTTTGTTAACCAAACCTAACAGATTTTCGCGCAATGTGCCTTTAAGTAAAAAATGTATTGTCGTGTTTGAGTACCTATGGGAGTCCGATGACGCGTTCGCAATCCGAACGGTCCTCAAGAAAGGCGTACTCTCACTGAAGACTGTCATTTAAAGAGCTACATGAAAACCTCGAATTACAGTTGCTCAGTCGGCTTTCCTTCGACGATAATCCGCCGATGGTAGAGCATCAGCTGGTTGCATGGACGAAGTTCTTTCTCGAACCATGTGTGGAAAGTACGGTAATTTTGAATTATATGTCAGATTTTTCAATACTGTGCCGGTGTGCTAGCCGTGACTGACCTTGATAGGTTACTCTTTCCAACAACTCGATAAATGTGCAGAAAAAAAATCATGTGTGATTCCCAGCAATTTGTACTCTCATGCGTGCATCCGCTGACCTCCCATCGTGAGCCGTATTCAGAATTCCCCGAAAGAGAAGGAGCCCTCAGCCCCTGCGTACGTACCGAATGTCATTCTACGTTTCCACCTGCAGTGGCTCATCCTCCACTTAGGTGGGTTAGCCTCACGGAGCAGACGATAGATGACCATTTCTTGGCATCTCCCTGGCCAAGGAAAGGTTACCTATTCAGAATTACTCAGTAGAGACGGAGAAGCTAGCTGCACTGTTAGTTCTGATCAGCGCTCGTATTTTGTCGGCCAGGGGTCAGGGTGCTTTAATCGCCACTGCTCCATAAATCAGCGCATCAAAACGCTACGAGCGATCTCAAGCTTCAGAAGACTCTGTTGAGTTGCCTGACGGTTTGTATGTTTAGCCGAAACCGATCTGATGCCGCCGTCGGACTGGTCACGAATTCTTCATAAAATGGTTGCAGCTCCTGGATACTTCGACGTAGCTCTGATTGAATCGTATGTGGTCATTTCAAAGAAAATATAGAACTGTCACAATAAAAGAACCCCAGGTCACCATGGTCATTCAAAAAGAGATGTAAAGCTGTGCCATCGAACAGCCTTTCATCTCAAATTACCTTCCAAGTCTGGTAAACGATCCTTCGAATGAAGTAATGATGCAGAAGAACGCAATGATGATGGTAGCAACTTTCAGTGAGGTCCTTATAGGAAAGATCCCTTACGTGTTTACTGTTTTGCTTTTTCCGGCAATACAGCTGGAAAGAATTTTGACGCCTAGTTAGCTGTATTGCTGAAAAAAGCAAGTCAGACCTGATAAGGGATCGAGCCCACGACGACTTGACTGTGAATCCCGCCCACTACCGTTGCGCTGTTTTGCTTCATAACTCCTTCAGAGAATCGTTTAGCAGATTTGGAAGGTAGATTTGAGATCAGCGTTCAAAGGCACTAGTCATATGTATATCTTAATGAATGGTCATGGTTATCTGGGATTATTTTCGTAAGCAGGTAATAAAGGGTATCCGACAGGAGGCCGTCATGCGGCAAGAAGGCAGAGACGCAGATGGGTCAGCGGACGAGTCGCAGCGCGTACTGCAGTGATTTAGCGTCAAGTTGAATAGAATGTACTATAGTACGTCCCACAGCACGCGCTGCGACTCGTCCGCTGACCCGTCTGCGTCTCCGCCTTCTCGCGCGCGACGGGCCTCCTGTCAGGTACACGGTAGCCAAAATCGTTAAAATTGGATCCCGTTTTATTTTAGAGTGATGGCAAAAGTGCCCAATCTGAGCAACAAGCGACGTCGTCAAGTCCGACGGATCATGAACATCTCCTTATCGGAATCGTTGTGTGCTGTGGACGATTCGATGAGTGTTCGGACACTCGAAGATCTTCAACGTCTCATCCGAAAAGGTCAGCTCTCTTTCTGCGAAAAAACACTTCAGGATCCCGTTTACATTTGTTTTGTTTGCTAACTATGGGTCCACGTGATGGGAATATTCAAACAACTAAGGGATATTTGATCTTATCCGGGAACGAAACTGGGTCCATTTTAAAGGCACCGTACCATTTATTACGTTGTTCCGTTATTTGGGATGTTCTACTTTATCCTCCCCCTTATGGTTAGCATCAGTAATTAAATGTCATTAGTATACCATCGAAGACAGAGGAGTACATAGAGACTCGAAGGGTAACCCAAAGTCCGAAAGAGGGGGGGGGGAGGGTTGGTTCAGGTATCGGCACAGGTTGAATGTTTCGGTTATTCAGCCCTCCACTGGCAGGCAGCATAGGAGCAGAGTGGGCACTATCGCAAGATACACAGGATTGTGGTGGCAGCATTTGGAACCCGTTCTTCACCCTGTTTGGAACCGAGTGAAGCAACTATTCTTCGTTAGAAAGGGAAGAAGCCCTAGGGAGGGAGGGGGGAGAGAGACTGGAGGGTGGGTGGGCTATTTTCAAGTATCCTTGAAGCTTTTACCCTCTTTTGAGATCATAACTGTAGGGTGCATTCGTACCTTGCGATAGCGCCGCAGAGTGATTAGCCGGTCAAATTCAGAGTGATTTACCAAATTCCAATATCCTTGTTGTTATTTACAATTCAATCAGGGGAGTTATGTTCCAGATCGAGGTACTGTGTCGACAACAGCGGAGCCGCCAGCAGACGGCTTTGTACTGTGCGATTCGGAAGAGTGGTGCTCGGTGCCGTTAGGTCTGCTACCTGGTGCTTCGGTGGACACATTCTCACTAATACTTGACAATGATTGGATTTCGGCTCAAACGCTACGTAACGACCGTGAGCTGAGCGTCATTGAAGAGGATGATTAGAGACACATTTCGCAACAGTTCCATTTTTCGTCGCGCTCAAGAAACAAGGCGGGGCTGCTAAATGGCTTGCCATAAAAAATATTTGTTTTCCATTCATTTGAAGCGTCGACAACTTCGAGCACTCTCCCCATACATTTTCAAAAAACGGTTCTGCCTGTAGGATGACATGCCCAGGCCAGTGTACAGTGTTTTTATCCTGGTTTCCAGTGTCTTCATACTCAGATAGTTTGTTACCGG